GGACAGGGCGGGCCGCGACGCCCTCCACTACGCCAAGCGGGCCAAGGATCGGGCCCTGAGGCGGCTCGTCCGAAACGCCCTGAGGAAACAGAAGAAACGAGGTGATGGGAACCGGGAATTCCCAGGCAGCTTCTAAAGAGTCTCATCCAGGGATGACAAAGCCCATGGTCCTTGGCCACTGGAAATTGAGCACGGGGATTCTGGGAGTTCGAGGGGGGTCTGAAACATTTAGTTCACCCTCTCTGGCCTAAACCGTGCCAATCTGTGCCCAACACGGTTGGGAGGAACCAATAATCCTTTCCTGGTGGATGGGAAATATTTAGACGGCTGTTGTCCGTTCATTAAAATTTGCTTCCTTAAGCGGAAAAAGAATGCGGGGGCCCAAATTCACAACTAGTAGGTAGTCGTTTTTCTAGTAATTAGATACAACAGTGGGGCCCTCTCATCCAGTGGGTTTCGAACTTGAAGTCAACTGGTTTATTAAACTTGAATGGGGTTCCACGACTGGGAAGCCACCACCCCCCGCAGGCAGGATCCTCAGCGTGATTTCCTGTTACAATTCAAAGACTCAAAAATGTACTGTGTCACTATTATACATACAACTGTAAAACAACAACACAACTGTTTCTGGAGAATAGCTAAAATAATTTATATTTAAGAGTAAATATTGCAGTTCGCACAGGAGCTGGTGGTTCCCTGCAGAGTCCTGAAACAATGCACTCTGTTTATATGAGCTAAAGGAGGAAATGATATGGAAGAATAACTAGCCCACCTCGTAGTGGAGGGGGGAGTTTGTCAGGATAAAAGGGTGAGCTGTAGACCATAAACATACAATGGAGATTATATTTTCATGTATTTATTGGTGTGGAAGATTGGTATCATGTAGCAAGCAAAGCCAGACGACCTAACGTGGAAAGGTGGGCAGAAAAGATTCAAGGCAGCGTTAGGGTCAGTTTGATGTTCTTCCACACTCAGCAGAAACTACAGCTCCCATAATTTCCTGCACGGGCAACAGTGACTTAGTGGGGGTGGGTAACTAAAGTTCTGACCCTTGAAAACTTGAGTTCACACCTTGCCTTTTTTGTTTCCACAGAACAAGGGCAGGATCCTTCTTCCGAAGCTAGCTCGCAGGTAAAAAGAGGTGGTTAATTCTTTAAAATCAATTTTGACTGTTGAAAAAAATGTTTAATACTACCATGAGTTATGAATTTGGCTACAAAGAACAAATACAGTGAGGAACTCCCCTTATATCTGTGGGAATTGTTTCCAAGCCCCCCCCCCAGCGGATACTGAAAACTGCGGATTACTGCAAGCACTATCTTAATAATGAAAACTATATATAGCATGGTCTCTCCCTCGATTGGCCAGTTCTGATAATTTCACCTTTAGAAATATATGGCTTTTCTTTTAATATTTTCAGACCATGGATCACTGAATTAGTGGATACACTGATCCTGTGGATATGCGAGTCCTACTGTACATAGCTACAGCATGTTAAATCATGGGCTTACTCCATTTAAGTACTTTTGCTTTCTGGGTCCTCCTCATATAGCCTCCGATAAGCAGGAAATGACCCAATCTCTGATCTTCCTATATTCTTTCTCCTGCAACCCTCAGTTATGAGATGATGTTCCACCAGAACTTGAGAGGCTGATGTGATTGATCCACACATTTAACCCTGTGCTTTTGGGAACGTGCAGGAGATAGAGTACATGATTCAGTGTTGTGGTTGCAGAAACTGCTTTAACTGGAAACAAGACGCTGAATTTTAAGCCAGGAAATTATTCTTTAAGCGATTTTTTTTAAAACTCAAGACAAGCTTTTCTCTTGTTCCCTTCCAAACCAGTGGTAGCTAGGAACTGCTAGGAGTGCTAGGAATACTCTCTCTCTTCATGTTTGGACTACCCTTTACAGGAGCTAGCCACGGTGCTGAATCCCTGCTTAAGTCCTATGGAGCACAGGATAAAAAACATGGAGTGGATTCGCTGTACCCCTGAAACTGGAGTCACAACTCCCTACCAAACTCTTAAGTTTTCACCCAGTTTTCTTTTAGCACTAATGAGATGTGGTCCTTTTAGAACCACATTTCCTGACCTGTTGTTCTCCAGATGTGGTCCAGATGGGGGAGGTTGTACTAGTTTATGGTTGTAACGTTCTGGGGTTGTCTTCTGTTTCCAGGTTCCATCTGAGAGTGAAAGAGAGACCAATGGGAGTAGCCTGACCCTCCAGAGCGAGAGAAGAGACCCCAGCGACGGGGAGGAGGAGGAGGAAGAGGAAGGCTCAGAGTTGAAAGAATGGAGAATCAGATACCGAGAAGAGAAGATGAAGGTCATCCAACTGGAACTGCAGCTGTCCCAGAAGGAGAAAGAATGCGAGGCCCTCTCTGACGGGTGCAAAGCGATGACAGAGAGAGTGTGGGACCAAGTGCAGGAGATCAGCCAGCTCCTTCCGGAAGGAGACGACAGGGCGCAAGGGTGGAAGGCGCTGAGCCGGCGGTACAGCCGCGATTCGACGGAGGAAGACTATTTCCTCAACCTTTTAGCTGAGCAAGTGCAGGAACTGAAGAGAAGGAGGCAAAAACTGGAAATGCGGGAGAAACAAGTGTCCCAAAAACTGGAGACGCAAGAGGAGAAGGCCGCAGCCGTCCAGGCGGAGACAGAAGTCCGGTGGCCCGGGGAGGAGGAGGAAGAGGAACAGAAGCGTCAACAAGCGGAGCTGAAGCGCCTCCAGGCCGAAGTGGCGGCAGCCCTCGAGGAGAAGGCGAGTGCGGATAAAAGGGTGCAGGAGATGGAAGGGCACATGGAGAACATGAGGGCCGTGATCGGGGTCTACGAGGCCAAGAGGAAGAACCAAAGCAGGGCCCTGAAGGAGCTGGAGGCCCGGGTGAAGGAACTGGGGGGCGAAAACCAGCGGCTGCGTGGGCTGCTGGCGAAGCGTCCGGCAGGCAAGCCGGAGAGTGCGCTCGCCACCGAGAAGCTCTGCCAGTTCCTCGCAGACATGGAGAAGGTGTCTGACGAAGTCCAGAAGGAGAACGGTGTGGTGATGGCTGAGAACGTGGCCCTGAAGAGAGAAGCAGAGGAGGCCCTCGGGAGCAAACTCCAGCGCCAGGCAGTGCCCTCCGGAGCGGTCAGGAGGGGCGTGCTTGCTTGGAAGAAGGTCACCGAAGGCTTGGAGCGTGCCTTGATCCGGTTGGGGCAGGTCAACGCCACCTTCCTGGAGAAAGGCCGGGCCCTGAGGGAAGCCCTCTTGGCCCCTTCCGCGGGAGCGATGGTGAACGGCGATGGGCCTCTTGTAGGAGAGAAGGGCACCTTGAGGGAGGAGGTGAAGCCGTCCCCGGGCAACCCTAAAATCCCCGAAGAGTCCAGAAAGGTCAGGATGGGAAAGGACCACGTGCCCAACGGCCCCGTTGGGCAGGTCAAGCTTCGCCGGAAACCTGAACCGGCCGAGGAGAAAGCCGGCCCCTGCCGGAAAAGTTCCGACTTGGAGAAGGAGGTGTGGGACCTCAAGAAGAGCAACGAGACCCTGGCCAAGGAGCTCGCCCAGCTGAGCCGAGAGCGGGAGAAGCTTCAAGAGGAGCTGCAGAGGCTGTGCTCTCCGAAAGAGGAGACGTCTCAGGCAGAGGGGACCAAGAACGCAGTGGAGGAGCTGGAGCGGACCGTGGATTCTCTGACCCAGCAGCTTTCGGCGGAGAAAGAGGAAGCGAGGAAGCTGCAGCTGAAGCTGGAAGTCCAGAAGGAGGAGATGGAGGCGGTGAAGGGCGGCTTCCTGAAGGAGGCAAGCAAAGAGGCCAACAGCTTCGGAGTTGGAAACCTGGATAGCTGCATTCTGAAGGAGTTACACTGGAAGCTAGACAACGTGGTGAAGAAGCAGAACGAAGCTTTGCAGCTGGTGTCCGAGATGGAAGAGGAGAACCACAGCCTTGAGGCTGAGCAGAACGGCTTGGGCACCTTCCCAAGAGAGAAGAAGCCCCAGCTGGATGTCTCTCTTGAAGCCGCGGACGCTGCCGGGGACAACGTGAAAGTCAGGCAGCGGATGAGCGAGCTAGAGAAAGGCCTGGAGGACGCCAAGGAGGCCCTGGAAGCAGACGAAGCTTCTCCGGGCATTAGTGGCCGAGGGGCCGGCAAGCTGAAGCAGCTCCTTGACCAGCTCGGCGCCAAGATGGCCGAGCTGCGTCATGAGGAGGAGGAAGCTCTCAAGAAGCATGAGAAGGTCCGTGGCATGCTGTCCGTCCGGGCCCAAGCCCTGGGATCCGAGCTGGCGTCCCTTCTGGAGAAATACGAGGAAGCGAGGGGAGAATGCGTCCTTCACAGGGACGCCCTGGCCGCGGAGAAGAGGAAGAACGAGGAACTCCGAGGCGAGGCGGCGGAGCACGAGGAAGAGGTGGAAGAGCTCAGAGGGAAGTCGCAGATGATGGAAAATGCGGTGGAGAAGTTGCATAAGAAGGTGGAGGACCTGACCAAGGCCTGTCAGGACAGGGAAGCGAAGGTAGGAGGCTTCTGGAGTTCCAGCACAGATTGCGTTGAAACATAGATTCTCACGGTACAAGGTGGGTCGACACCTTATAGGATTCTTATAGGATCAGGCCTGCCCCTCATGCCTTGGTTAAGCCCCAGAAGGTGGTTTTCCTACATTTCTCGTATTTGGTAATAGAATTCCATTTGTGGAATCACAGCCGTTACAAAAAGAGAGAACAGACAGATGTTAAAAAGAGGCCGTTGGAATAATATTAAAAAGAAATAACAGCACTCAGACGGGTATAGCCAAGGTTATCAAATGCTACCGGATAAAATTATATATCTCGAAAATCTGGATTCTCATCCTCGCATCCGTGTTTCTTCTTAAAGCAGCCGAGCGAAAAGCAAACCTCCCCAGAGATATAGGGAGATCTGCCCTCCAATAAAAATTGAATCGGATCTCTAACGGATCTCTGAAAGAGTAAACCTAATTCTCCCAGCAAAATTGTTCTTAAATCATCATAAACTGGCAAACTCAATAGATAATGAGGTAGGTTCCCACCCCCCCGGCCAAACGTGTTGGTTGGTGACTCATTTCATACAGCGAAACAAACCATGGTTTACCTGAACTGTAAACCATGGTTACAACATTCGAAAACATCAAACAGGCCAAAAATGGCTGGCTGCTTCCATTTCCAACCAGTCCAGTAGCAGCCTTGCCTTGAGGCCTGGCCTCTGGGGCCGAAGCAGCCACCATCCGTATAGTCTGTTAAATCTGGCCATTATGCTAGACTGTGCCTAACATGCATCTCTGCAAATTCCAAGCCATGCTTTGAGGACCTCATAGTGGTTGGGCCAAAGGAGAAATCCATTAACCAACATTGCCTCACTGGAAACACTGATGTTACAGGGTATGACGAGACTTTATCGCAGAATCACATTTTTGGCATGCAATTGTAATTATATTTCGTCAGTCCTGACAAGGGAGCCCATGACCGAGGTAGGTGGTTGGTACCCAGGTAAAGATTGGAGGCAGAGGCTAAAGACGGGTTGCGAGAAAAACACACGGGAGATGAGGCTTAATTGCTGTTTCCTTTGTTGTTTCCCCTCAGATCAAGAAGCTGTTAAAGGAGACGGAGAAGCTTTCCAGCGAAGTCCTCAATCTGCGCAGCGAACGTGCGCGCCTCCAGCTCCACATTGAGGTGAGTAGAGTATGCTAGCTTGCGAAAAGCGCCTGGGCTGATTTGCACAACGAATCTTTTTAGATCACCCACAAAGTGGCCCTGGAAGATGTTCAGAGAGTCAAGTCCTTGTCCTTTGAACCAAGATTTTTCCCACCTGTAGAAACATAACTTGCACATTGTTGGGAGTTTGATGAATTAATCAAGGGATACGAAACCACTTCAATTTCTCATGTGGAAAGCATACGTTCTGCCTGGATCGTTGCGTCTGTGTGTCATTGACTTTTTGGGGTTGAGGTTGGTGGTCTATGCGGGTTTTAATGCAATGGTTCTATGGTTTTAATTTCATATTTTAATTTTTTAAAAATTGTTTTAAAGCGGAATTGGTTTTTAAATAGCTTCCTACTGCTCTGTAATCAGCCCGGAGATCCTGTGATACTCAGTCAGTCAGTCCATCACATGGACCATATCTCAGAAGTTTCTTTGGTTTCGTTTCAGATGGTCCAGAAAAACCACCAAGAGATAGTCACCATCTACAGGACCCATCTGCTCAACGCGGCTCAGGTAATAAACATCCATGAAACAGGAATAAACATAATTTCTAGCTGAGGTCTTGAGGGGAGGAAAAAGAAATCCAGACATGGTGCGGGTGTGACATCTGGAGTCGTAATAAATTTAGACGGCCGTCCTTTCCCCCAGGCCTGCAGATGTGGGGGGAGGAGAGGAAATTAAATTCGGTCTATCCAAATGGCACAAAAAAAATATATCCTTCTGTACCTTCTGCACTCCCAGCTGCACATTTCACTTACAGGTTTGAACGCTTCTTGGGGTGGGCAAGAAACCTGCACCTAGAAACCGAGCTAGTAAGGGAACTGGCGAGGCTGGAAATTTCCCACCTTGGCACCTACTTTTCTACATGCAGAGAGGGCTATTAGCCTGGTTGCTGCATTTTTAAATGTCAGGGAGCATCTAACCACAGTATCTCTCGGCTGCAGCTTGAAATGTCACGGGGTCCGGGAAACACAGGATATGCTGAGTGGTTTAGATCAGAAACGTTGGTTATTCCCCACCACCAGCACCGCAAGTACTGTTTAGAGTAATTATACGGTACCGACAGGTCACCTCCAACTCATGGAGGTCACCTCCCTAAGGATGAGCGACCCCCAAAATCTCCCGTCCTCAACAGCCTGGCTCAGATCTTGCAAACTCAAAAGCCTGTGGTTTCCTTTAGGGAGTCCGTCCATCTTGTATTAGCTCTTCCTCTTTTCCTGCTGCTTTCCGCCTTTCCCGGCATGATGGTCTTTTCATGATGTGCCCAAAGTAGGACAGCCCTCAGCTTCACCATTTTTGCCTTCAGGCTGGATTCGATCTAGCACCCACTGGTTCGTCTTTCTGGCCGTCCAGGGTATCCCCAAAGCTCTCCTCCAGCCCCACCTTTCAAACAAATCCATTTTTTCCCTAATCAGCTTTCTTAATTGTCCAGCTTTCACATCCATACATAATAATTGGGAATACCAGAGTGTGGATGATCTTGGCCTTGAACTTCCCTTTTTGCAGGAATTTTTTTTCCCTCCCATTCAGGGTTTCATGGATGAGGAGGTCCACTCGATGCTGCTCCAAATCCTGCAGACGAACAGCTGATGAGCGAGACTCCATGTAAGAATGGCTGTTCCCTTAATGTAAAAACAGCAATTTTTAAATCAATGCATTTATTTCTATGCTCTCCTTAGTGCTTCCCCCTACTCCATTACTCAGAGGTTTTGAACTTCATTTGTCTCTCCCATTAAAGGAAAATTTCATGGAGATCCTTTTTTTCTAAAGGCTAGGTTTTGGTCCTCCAGTGTACAAATCCCATGTACCACATTTCCTTTTTCAAGTGGCAGGCGGTTCCAGGGGCATCTTCACAAAAGCAGTTTTGTGCAATAAATAGTGCTGGACCAAGGCAACCTACAAACATTCATCCAGTCCTCCCTTTGCAGCTTCCAAAAACTATGGAACTGCTGGATAGCTCAGTGGTTTAACTATCAGAGGTTGGGAGTTCGAATTCCCCACTGGGCCTACTTGACAGGGGCTAGACTTGATGGTCCCTTCCAGTTCTGCTGTTCTAAGTTTATTAACTGTTATTTCTCTTTTATCTTCCAAAATTCAAAACCCTTCCTGTTCTCTCTTTGGGATGCAGATTCAAAACTGCACGAGCCCTCTCTTCTTTTTTGCATGAGGGCAGGAGATGTAAATCCTTAATCTTTGCCATAACCACTAGTCCTCAAAGGCCGTTGAAGAAGAAACAGCCTGTTCTGCCATGCCAGGTTCTGCAAAACCCTTAAGACACAGTAAGGGAGGGAGCCTAAATTGCATTTTCAGAGCATTAGAATAAAGGGAGTCTTCTCTGAGCATGGGCAAAGTTCATTTTCTTCTGCTCCTCTGTTGTGAGAGGGCAAAGTCTCTCATCGTCTGAAGTCTGGAATCAAGCAATTGGATTTTGAGGAGTGGGGTTTCCGGGTAAATTGAGGTTTCCCAAAAAGATGGGAGTTTCACGGGGAGCCCCCCCAAAAAGAAATATACAGAGAAAGTTGCAGTAATATTCTTATGTACTTCATCATTTCCTCATTTCCAGGTTTTGTTCCAGTGGAGTCGTTAACACTGGTAAACAGAGGAGGGATGCCAGCCTGTCTTTGTAGCATCCGGAAGCAAGTTCAAACCCACCGTGGGCATGATCCAGTGGCTGCCGGTTTCCACTTTTTGGAAGTATCCGAATGAGGGTTGTGTGTAAAACCATTTCTGCTGTTGGAAGGATGACCGATGCCATGTTGGCTACTGGCACCAGGGTGTGCTTGCCCTCTTCTCCGTCGGCTTCTTTCTTTCTCTCTCCCTCTTTTTGCAGAATCAGGAGGTTGGTTTGGGTTGGGAAGAGCCCAAGGGAAGAAGGATGAAGAGCAGGATGGCGGTGCATAATTGGACAGCCATCCGTCCGGGCTGCTTTGATTTCTGCCCCGAGTCGGGGGTTGGACTAGATGGCCTTATGGGCTCTTTTCAACTCCATTATTCTATGATTCTATGATAATAGCATTATATGGGAATCAAGACCCTACCCCTCTCCAGGAAACTAGCACATCAACACTGGCGCAAGATAGGAAAGCATCTTCCACGGCCCTTCTTCATAAATTAAGCCTCACTGGACTCAATCTGGTAGAAAATCATCTTACTTCTTGGGAAAAAAGGCCACACTGGCTATAGGATCCTGGCAGCTGTTCATCCCCCAAGGATGCTTTTCCCACCCTTTTTTCTGGATCCTGCTCTGTTCTTCTTCTTAATATCCAAAAGATCGCTCTTCAAGTAAGCTTGCTTTCCTCGCGTCAGGCTGGGTTAGCACCTAACTCAGGAAATTAATCCAAAATCCAGGGATGCCCAGCGCCTTTTTTAAAAAGACAAATATGCACAAAATAGGTCAGCTTCCAGGCTCTCAAGAGCTCTTAAGCAAACTAGGGAGTTAAAAAAATGGGAAAGGGTGGGTGGAGGGGGGAAGGCGTGGAATTTCAAGCTGTTGGGGCTGGTTGTTTCCTGCCCTGGGGAACTTTAGTCAAATTTCGTCCCAAATTGGAACAAAATTCCAATTTGGGACCATTTGATTTGTCAGGGAGTCTTTGCCCACCTGCTCCTCCAGACCATCCTAGGAAGGGGGCTAGGAAATCACACACACACCCCCAAGAGGCTGGGCCTTCTTCGCTGTAGCATCCATACTCTGGAACCAGCTCCCAGGTGGAGCTGCACCTGCCCCCCCCCCAACATTTCAAAGGCTCCTGAGAACATGGCTTTTCAGGGAGGCCTTTTGTGACACCCCCACACACACACCGCTTGATTCCATGCCTTGCCTTCTGTCTTTAAACTAGACTTTTATGCCTCTTCATGGTTGTAGCGTTGTACTGTTTCATTGTCTACTGGTTTCATTTATAAACTTACCACAGTTTGGTGTTGTTTTAGTACGTTGTAAACCACCCAAAATAGTGCATTGCACTAATGGGGCAGTATACAAATAAATTAAGCAAACAAATGGCCTTTATTTATTTGTTTTCCAACTGGCTTGTATTTTCACTATTACACCTTTTTAGCCACTTGAGGGAGCACTCCTTTTAAACACAGATTTCTCTGAGTCATGCACATATCCCATGACCTCTGGAGAAGATGACAAGAAAGCGGTTCCCCATTTCTGCAAAGATAAAGGCAAAGCAGCATCCGGTTGCATTTATTTTTCCCTTGGTTTGGTGGAGGGAAAACAGAATATTATATCCACCAGCACAGCATCAAAATGAGGATTTGCAGATCGAAACATCAAGGGGCATTGAAGCATCACTGGCAAACTGGAGGGCTTGCTAGCAAGGCAACCTCTTCAGAGTCACATTGCGACCGAAAGGCCTCTCTTTTGGTTTCCTAATAGCTATAGAAGTGCTCTCCCTCTGAATCTGTCTGCTCTTCACAAGTAATGTCTCTCCCCAAGAGCAGCCTTGGGTGAAGAGCAAGCCGGCCCACCTCCGGTGCAGAAGAAAATGTCAATGCACCCAACGAAGCCCTGCTCTGGAAATATGGGGCCATGGCTCCCATCAGCAGTTCATCGACTATGAATTGAAGCTGTACAAAAGTGCTTAACACATACAGTGGTGCCTCGCTAGACAATGATAATCCGTTCCACTGAAATCACTGTTTAGCGAAATCATTATCTAGCGAAAAGCATTTCCCCATTGGAATGCATTGAAACCTGTTTAATGCGTTCCAATGGGGAAGAATCGTCGTTGTCTAGCAAAGATCGGCCATAGGAAAGCTGCTTTGCGAACTGCCGATCAGCTGTTTAAATCGCTGTCTTGCAAAGCTTAGGTCCCGAAAACACCTGTTTTGCGAGCGCGGAGGAAGCTGTCAGAATCGTCGTCTAGCGTAAACTACATACAGAAGCCTAATATCCTAAAGCAATAAACACTAATAAACCACAAACCCATTATAAATTATACAAATGCAATCAAATGAATATAGTTGCAAGTAACAAATTCCCCCCCTTTCTCTTCTGGTTTTATAAACTTCGCCTCCTTCCAAAGAATGGCGGGCGGTCATTTTCTAAGAAATCACATCGTCATAAAATGAAAACAAAGCCGTTCCACTACAATTTTTGTTCTGCTTTAATTTTATTTTATCCTGACATGTTGTCACAGGAAGGAGCAAAGCAAAGAGAGCCAGTGTGGTGTGTCGGGAGTAGAGAGACCTACTAGGACTCAGGAGACCTGGGTTCGAATCCCGGCACATTCATGGAAACTGCTCAGCTCAGCTCTTGCAAACTCAAGCCTATGGTTTCCTTGAGGGAGCTCATCCATCTCATATTTGGGCTTCCTCTCCTCCTGCTGCCTTCCGCCTCCCCCAACGTGATTATCTTCTCCAGAGGATCCGGCCATCCGGCCTTCTCAGGATCTGACCCAAGGAGGACCAACCTCGGTGTCAACATTTTTGCTTCCAGAAAAAAATTCAGACTTGATCTGATGATGAAGGACCCACTGGTTCGTCTTTCTGGCAGTGAAGGGTATCTGGGAAGCTCTCCTTCAGGTCGTCCAGCGATAATCGGTTTGCGAAGCAGGGACCAAACATTGTCCAGCAAAATTCCCCTATAGGAATCACTGTTTTGCGAATTGCTATAGCGATCACAAAAACTGAATGTCTAGTGAAAAAACTGCCATGTGGGGTAACTGTCTAGCGAGGCACCACTGTACAAGTTTTCCATGTCAGCTCCTGAAAGGCCTGGAAGGATACAGGGGAGCTTCTTCAGAAACATAGAGGAAGGGGGATAAGGTCCCGAGACCATTACCTTTAGAACATGGGAGACCAAGGATGGCTTAGAGTTAGGTCATTATCTGACAGAGCAGCAACAAGCCCAAATAAGCAGTGTGGTGTGTCGGGAGTAGAGAGACCTACTAGGACTCAGGAGACCTGGGTTCGAATCCCGGCACATTCATGGAAACTGCTCAGCTCAGCTCTTGCAAACTCAAGCCTATGGTTTCCTTGAGGGAGCTCATCCATCTCATATTTGGGCTTCCTCTCCTCCTGCTGCCTTCCGCCTCCCCCAACGTGATTATCTTCTCCAGAGGATCCGGCCATCCGGCCTTCTCAGGATCTGACCCAAGGAGGACCAACCTCGGTGTCAACATTTTTGCTTCCAGAAAAAAATTCAGACTTGATCTGATGATGAAGGACCCACTGGTTCGTCTTTCTGGCAGTGAAGGGTATCTGGGAAGCTCTCCTTCAGCAGCACATGTCAAACAAATCATTTTTTTTCCTTTTAAGGTTGGGGACACCCTATATAGGCACACGTGCTACGTGCAAAGAGGCATAAAGTCCGTTTCTGCCCCGGTCAGCCTATTTATCACCTTGATAAGATAAGCAGCTCTTAGAATGGTAGGCTTCTGGAAGGGACCCGAAGGGCTTCTTGGCTGGTGGCTCCCATTAAGCCGGGGAGATGAGCCTATAAAAATAGAGCATTAAGTTAATTTCATACGGCAAATTTCCTATTCTAAACAAAGTGGCAGTCCTTGGTTTGGTCTACATCCCCCCCCACCTGAAATATTGATTGGCACAGTCTCTTGTAATCTTGAAAATAAGAACTGTGCCAGGTGTTGCACCCAGATCCGGAGATGAGAAAAGACTGTTTTTGGATTACAACTCCCAGAATCCCCTAGATGCATCCCCGCTTAGTCATTCTCCATCTGGCTAGGAATTCTGGGTGTTGCAATCCCTCCCCCCCCCAAAAGGAAAATTCCAAACTTTGGCTCTTGAAACCCACTTTTCCACCTTAAGTAGAGCTTGGAAAAGGTTCCTTCTGCAGACCGCAGCTGCCTGAATGCCGCCCCCCCCTCAGTTGGGGGCCACGGTGGTCGGGGGTTCTGGGACTTGTAGTCCAAAGAAAGAGATAACGTTTCCCCAAACTCGGTCTCTTGACAGGGCTTCCTCATCCCAAGAAGAGCTTGGAGGAGTTACCTTTTTGAATGAAAGCTCCCAAAGCCTCTTTGGCCTGTATTTTTTTTTGTTGTTGTTGTTGGGGGGGAAGGGAACTGAAATTCCAAAAATCTCCAACTTGGACTAGTTCTTTTTTTGGGGGGGGGACTATAGATCCCAAAATCCCTATCTTGGCCCAGTTATATAGAATGTTTGGACTGTAAATGCCAAAATGGCAATCTTGGACCAGTTTTTTTATTATTATTATT